GTAAATATTCAAATCCTGCACATTTTTTCCATCATTTCCACATGTTTTGGTTTTCCCTCTAAGTCAACAGCTAAACAGATCTAACTATTGAGATGCAAAATTATCAACCAAAGCAATTACTATGCTTTTAAAAAGCTAACATTTACAAGAATCTAATAAAAATGTAATATCCCTTTACAGGAATAGTTAAAAATAGCTGATGAGTAACAAAAGTATATTTGTAATTGAATATGCTGGTATGAATACGCTGGTATGAATGTGCAAAAGGCCAGATTTTTTTTTTCATAGTGTCTTAAGATTAATTTCCAACTCTATAATATATCAGTGTAAGAACAGCCTAAAAATCACTGATGGGTGTATGGTGTATGTTGGAATATGTGTGAGAAAAAAAAGGCAAAACTTTAGAAGTAGAAGAATCTAGAAGTTATACCTCACAAACACACTGAAAATAGCTGCATACTAACAATTTGTAAAATTTGTGACTAAGAATAAGAATTTTTCTATTTTTGTTCTTACTCCTTAACATACTGAATAAATACTTCACACTTATGTATGAACATATTATAGAATTTTAACAAAAAACATATGACTCACATTTTCACAGAAGCTAATCTTTAGAAACTGAATAGACCAAATGAAGCAGCATGCCACTTAAATAGACAAAGGCTTAAGTATACCTCTCTTTTCAAGCTAGAGTAAAAGGAAAGCAGTTAACTAAAAACATAAGTTGGATCTAGGCAAGGAAAATATGACACAGTATTGCCACACTCCTATCATACATTTCTGTTTTTTCTTCAATTCAGAGGAATTCTGTGAAGGAGCAAACTACAGCTGCCTGAAAACTTGTGGCAAGCCATACCAACTCCAAAGCTGCAAATTAACAACAGAGGTCAGCCTAAAAAAGAAATGTTTTTTTCACCACTATCTATTATAAACTATGCTTGAAATTATCACCTTCGGGGAATGGAAATGTTTCCCTACACTATATGATTAAAGAGGAAGGGAAAAAGGAAAAAAGGAGAAGGGGAGAACGTATATACCAAAAGACCAATAAAAGGCTTTCAAGAAGATTAAGCATGTGGATTTTATTGGTAATAGCTGGAGCAGCTCTATCAGTTCATTGCACATTAATAGACAAGTTGCCATCAAGCCTCAGGATCTCAGCTTTAAAAGGCTAGTAGTATCTGCACTCTCAGCTATTTGCTTTACCTAGATTATTATCCAAAGTTGTTCTTTTACTTTCTCTCTTTTTACTACATAGCAATACATATTATGGGAAAGAAATTCATAAAAATATTAATCATGACCTATATATGTCACAGAATCACCAATTTCTCATTTTTTAAATTTTAATATCCTTTCTTAACTAACATTGCCTTGGGGGTGGGCAATGTTAAATATAGTTTGCCTTTATTTTATGCCTATTTTTAACTTTCAATTGAAATAATAATCCTTACTTAAAAGCTAAGCATTTAAAAATTTTCCAAGGTTTGCTACAGTCAAGCAAAAATTCCCTTTTCTTACAAACAAATTGCCTGTTGGGTTTTCTTTTAAAGCTAAGAAAAAGTGGAAAAATTACCAATAAAACTAACGTCAAGTAGAAAAGGGGTTAATATTTAATTAAAACCAGTTCTATCCACTGTAACAATGACCTGGAGCCAAACAAGGCGGAAGATGTATGAGTCATTCTTTCTGCCCGTGAATGAGACAGCTGATCTCCTCAGCTATTCCTCAAGACAAGCAGGCAGAACTGGAGTTCTGCCTCCATTCACAAAAACACAGTCCAGCATGAGCCATGTGGCCCAACCACAATCTTTTCATGTCACACCCTTCCAGAGAGCTACAGCAAGTAAACTTGAACTTGCAGTATAAACACACGAATTTATTGCTCTGTCTCGGAGCTCAGATCCTTTAAAAGAACATATTTAAATAAATGACAAATTTTATACATATTATATATTATAAATTACATATATAAAACACATACACACACATATATAGAGATACATATTCCATCCTGTTTACAAGGTAACTTGTTACAGAAACTTGAATGTACAAAACTAAGAAAAGAAGGAAAGAGAAACAGAAGGAAGGAAAAAGAAAAAAACATTGAAGAAAAGCTTTATTTTTCTTGCTGATTATTCAAATTTTTTTGTCCTAAGAATATGGTAGATTATTGCTGAACTTTGTAGCATTTCTCTTTGAATCAAAGGGTTAGAAATAAATTTCTCTGAAGAAATTTAAATTTTATTTTAAATAAAAGTAAAACAACAAGAAAAATGAACCTTTGCACAGTGGTATTCTGTTTAATCCTAAAATGAAGCTACAGGCCATGGAACAAAATAATCATGAGTCCACTAAGCCTGGTTTTACACCACATCCGCTTTTAACATTAAAATGATTGTACCAATGTAAAAGCACTAATTAATGCTGAAGTATAAACATATTTAAACAGACAAAAAGGGAGACTATTTCCCCATGACAAAAACACCTTTAATACTTGATAAAGACATTCTTTCTATATGCTCTAAAAGAAAGGAAACAGTACAGTTTTAGTTGTCTTGAGTCTCAAATTAGCTTCAATCCTTAACTAAAAATTGACCTGCAGTGACTTGAAAACTTAAGGGGAAGCTCAGAGCCAACTAGTTGTTGTTCCTAGCCAAATATTTTCTCTAAAGTTATACTATAAAATGCAAAAAAGTACACATTTCCTATAAGCGAAATAGAAAAGTTCAACAATAGTTCTTCTATTAGGACCCTCTGGAAAAACTACCCTATGCTACACCAAATCTAATTTTTTATCTTTTTAAAAAAAATCTTCTATTTTGTAAATACAAGATAGATGAAAAAACATTTATGTAATTCCAATAAAGATTCAGAAATAAAATGCCCTTACTCTATCTGCTATCTTTAAGTTCAAATGGGAACTCTTTCTTTCGTGTTTTAGACTATTTCCCGGTACAACAAAGAGGGGTGGTGCCTCCCCTACTCCCACAACACGTGAAATGACTGTTGCTCAATTCTAAGAAATTGTATGGACTTCTATCATTTAATGCTCAATTCTCAATTCTTGTCTTATGTAACCACATAAAAGAATGTAGTTTTTAAAGCCTTTACTCCTTACCGAACTACATTGGGGAAAAAAATTGATGAGAACATACCCAATTTTATGTCCCATTTAAAAAAGAAACAGTAGAATTTTTGAAAAATAAAAATGAGTGTATTATGACTATTGTATATTGTGGATGATATTCTACATAGTGAGTAACAATAGCATATATTATTTAAGAAACATCATAAAAAATGACTTCTAATATAAATTTAGCATCAGCCAATGAAGTGAATTGAAGAGAAAGTAATGCCATCTCTACTTTTAAGTCAACTTGACTATTATTTGAAGGTCACATAATACCAAAAGGAAAAAAAACCTATTTGCATGAGGTAATAACCTTTGGTGTAGGAAGGTTGTTCTTGGAGATAAAACTTTGACTCGAAGTGTGGCGGCAGCATTAAACTTGACTTATTACAACACCATTGAAAAACATTTTAACTGATGACGGGGAATCACTGTTGACTTTCTCCTTAATATTACTGATGAAAGGGAACCCGAAAGAACATCTAGACCGACAACAAAATAACAGTCAAAAGAGTAGCTATGTATTTAAATTAGATATATGCTAAAATTTATTATTTCTCTTTAAGTTGTATTAGTAGGTAAGCTTTAATAAGCAAGTTTAGAAGAATGCAATGCTTTCTTAACTCAATTTTTTTATATCTTTCTATTTTTGTCCCCCACACAGAAGAGGTTCCGTTTTAACTATGACTTTTAGGTTGTTAAGAATAAGACGTTGCCATAATATTGATAAGATTGATATTTGAACTCACTATTTCATGAGATCAAATAATCACAATTGCCTTTCTGTCAGTAGCAATCTAATTCAAAATACAAAGAATCAATAGAGAATTGTACATAGTAAAATTATAATATAAAGTAGCTATGACAAAATTTAAAATAGGCATATTCTCTGATTTTTTTTAACTGCTACTGTGATCACTAAAACATTAGCTTTTCAATCTTCTTCAGAAAAAGGTGATTATTTTAAATCGTGGCATAGATGTTAAAAACCTTTAAACTACAGTATTACTTGGAAAATGATACAAATATAAAGTTACATTTTTTACAAACATATTTTAGATCCTGGTATCCATGTATGGAAATTAATTTTTTGGGAGAACGCAAGTGTATTTTCAGAGAGCACTTTAGTGAATTGAAAATATTGGTTCCATCCCCACGCTTAAGTAGTCCTGCCTTAACTATTCCAACTTCCCCTTAGAAATAAAACACATTTCATAATCCATAATAATTTACCCATGACTAATCCATATGTTGCAAAAACCAAACCAAATTTGGGTCAAATTTGCAAAAATTCTTACAGCAAAAACCAAATTATATATGCCAAGATATATCATTTCCCAAGTATTTAGGGACTTTTATAATTTTTTTTAAAACATGACTATCATATTACACATTATAACTAACTTGACTCTCGTGTTTAATAAAATTTTTAGACCTTTTTAACTTCCCAGTGGGATTCTAACTCATGGGAGAAACTTGGTTAATTGCCAATGATCTTTTTTAAAAGGGTCAAAATGTCTTAAAATTCCATGGTCACTTTCTTGGCTATGGAGCATTATGAAAAGAAATATGTAAACGGTTCACAGTCTGCCAATTTGGCAATGGTTTAATTTCTGAATGTCCAGAAGAACATAAATGGACAAATCTAGCTACAAATAAACTAGGGTAATTTGGGGAATCTCTTCTTAGCTAATATTGTTCAAGACGTGGGATAGGTCTCAAGTTAAAATGTTAGTGCAAAATAAAATATCTGTATTTAATTGCTAAATAAAAAAAAGTCTATTAACAAGTAGTAGAAAATTCTCTTCTCACTATTAGATTTCTAAACATCACGATAACAACTTTTTGCTTATATGATTAGACAAACTAATGTAAACTATTTTGAAAATGTTTAAATTATTCTAAAATGCAATCTTATCCATGGTTTGTAAATAATAGCCCACCTGGGTATTCAACAAAACACTTACAATTAATTCCTGAACTTAATTAGGCTAACAAATTCTTTTCCAAGTAAAAGTCCACGTTTCTCCAAATACATCTGTCATTTTCTAAATTGATTTTATGTAAAGCTAAGTCTCCAGATTTTATTTCCAGGTATGTTAATAATCCTGGGTAAAACTATTCTCTGCAGAGTTTTAAAAGATAAACTTGGATAAATTATTAAAATCACTTATTCGAGCTATAAGACACAAAACAAGTCAAAAGTAAAAAAATGTACCGAAACTGATTATAAAATAGTAAGAGTCTGTCACAGATTCTACACTTTAAAATTCCAGAAACAGAGTTGCTATGCACGTTCAAAATCTGCCAGCAAGTGCACTGACTTGGAATCAATGAGATTTAAACATCTTAAGAACCAACAAATCTTCCAGAACAATTAAAATAGATATTTTAAGCTATTTTGGATAAGCGAATAAATTTCTTCATAAAAGTAATGTCCTCACAACCCTCAACATTGCAAAACTAATAGACAAAAAGTTAGTACAAGAACCTCTGTGCAAATTTTTCATGAAAAAGTTATGTTTCAATGTATGGCTTATGTTGCAATAATAAGTAATCTATTGCAATAAGTTTCATTTACAGAGACAAACAAAATGACCTTTAAATATAACCAAAACTTGCACTAATACCTACCTTTCATTAAAATACAAACACAATCACCCTTTCAAAGGACTCTTAGGAAAGCTATTTAACTTAAAAGATTGATAAAGATTGCAAAAGCTCTTCGGAGAACTAGAATACCAGCAAAACAAAGAAATTTATTGTACATGCTAACATCAACTTGATCAACTGCATTCAAGACCACCAGATAAAACACATCGGACAGCCTCAAAGTAGGTACAACACCTGGGTTCCATTTAAAGAGACCCCCTCTCTCCTTTTAACCATCTTAAAAATCTGTTCCAAAACTTGCCTGTTTCCCTAATAATGTGAACACACAAATAACACAATTACACTCAATGCTTAAATATCTACAATTTTCTCTTTGTGTTTTCCACAAAACACATCATAAAATTAATATTTCACATTTTTATTGCCAAATCCAAAAGAAAAATTTCAATATTAGGCATTTCTTAAGTTGCATAAAGCTTTACTGAAGCAGTATCTCTTTATTCCTATAAATAAAGTTGCACACAATAAAAGATATAATAGATTGCACCAGAAAATTTTACCAAAAAATGACCCAAAATAAAAGTAATGCCTTTAAATTTCTCCTTACTATATTAAATAAATCTTAATAAAAGTGACAAAATAGCAAAGGTTAACTTCAACAAATATTACATGAATAGTAACACATAGAAAACATTAAAAAAATCTTCAAATCCCCCAAAGATTTATTTTAAACCCATAGATTTCCTAAGTATTGGATACACACCTAACGTTCTGTGTTGTGAGCAAGGTGGAAAGAAGACACTTGCACTTAAATCTTGAAGCATCCCGTCCTGATGAACCCAGAGAAACTAATTTCTGCCATCAGAAAAGTCCTCCACCAGAACACCAAATAATGATATGCGCTGCTCTAAAGGAAACAGCAAGCCAGCCGGGTTCTGGCTCTAGGAGGTCTCTGGAGGTACAATAATATAAACCTGATCAATTGCAATTAAAATCTGAACAGAGGCTTAGAACTTGAAGTCTTGGTGCATTAGTTCTTGCCAAAAGCAGATGTGATTGTGAGCTGGAAGCAATTTCTCCTGGTAATTTGTGATGACACTGGGTAGTACAGCCCCAGAGTCCCCAAAGACAAACTCATCAGAGGCTCTAATGTATGCATGACACATGAGGTGGCTCTTTTAGAGCTCAATTAATTGGGCTGAACATTAAGACAGCAAGTTCAGGACTTTTTTTTCTCCTTCTAGAGTCGTTTTTCCCCTCTTTTAAAGCAATTTTTGCCTTACCTTCTGCAAGCCATGTTTCTTGTAATTGACTTAGATCTTGAAAGAGTTCTAAAAAACAAGTCAAAGACATAAACATAAGATTTGCAAATCTTTCGTCTTCATTAAGTGAAAATGTTTATCATGAAATTGGTATTAAACAGCAACTTAATTGAGGAGAGGGAGTCAATATAAAAAGAAAATAGGATTCATAACTTAAATATCTCAATAATCCTGCCTCCTTTTGCTGCCTATTAAGCAACACTTTAAGAAATTCTTTTAGTCAAATAAATAATAAAGTCAATCATCTTTTCTTTCCCCTTTTTAACACACGGCTTAATAAATAAGCTCTGGCATAACAAGCAACACACATACACCAGGATTCAAAAAAGGGCTGAGATGAAGGTGTGTCTATTCAGGAAAACTTTTCTTAAATATATTCCACTCTTGCTAAAATAGTACTAGGGGAGAGATTAGAAAGACTGAAAAGCATTTTATTGATATCTTCTGGATCTTATATAAAAGAAATAACACGACATGATATAATTTTCAAAGTACTATGTTTTCAAGTTTAATGTGTCAAAACTAAAAGAAACTATATACAAGTTTTTAGAGGAAAATTTCTACATGAGTAGGTTTACAAAAGTCAAAGACTTATAATTCCTTGGTACCATGTTATTATCAAGTTCAAAACTGTGTATTGTCATGTTGGAGAGAGAGGGAGGTGTCCAATAAGGATGAAGATTTGAGGAAGTTTCAGAATTCAGTATAGCTAATTAAAATTGCAAACTGAACTTTGATAATTAAATGTAAGTATATTAAGTTTTTTATGAATGCCCCCATAAGGCTGAAGTAATTTATAATATATTGACCTCCTACCAACAGTTCATAAAAAGAATCTGCAACCTAATTTCCCAAATAGTATTATAATTATTAATTAGGCCCTAAGTATGATTCAGTGAATACTTTAAGCTCTATAAACAAGATATTAAGACCTCACAAAGTGGTCATCAAAATTACCCATAAAAATTGTGATAATAGTATATGGTTTTAGTGTAAACGGGATGGGAAATCAATCATTAATATTGTTTAACTTGAAGTAGACAGAAAAAAGCAAGCAGTGTACATAGCTGATGAATTTGTCCCACTGTGTTAGGTATTTTTAAATTGTTATCTTAGTGTCTGAGATTAGTTATATTCCATATGGACAGGGGTATTTAAACACAAAAGAATGATTAAAAGAAGGATGTCACTGTTAAGTTTTTTATTTCCTTCTTTCATTAGTTTGTGACAGGGCTATAAAATATTCTCTAGTGCAAACTGTTACATTATGTAAATTGCTCCAAGTAAAAGTCTTAGTTAAATTCAGTAATTTCAAAGTTTATTATTTTTAGGATAAGATCGAAGTGTTCCTGTTCTTTATGAGGGTGGAGAGTGTAGGTAAAGAGTGGGGATTCAGCCCAAAATCAAACCTCACCTTCTGAATCATGAGCCAGATCTCTGTTAATGAATTTTCTTTTCCTGACATTTGTTGGTTTCTCGTTACAATTTCTCCCACGCTGACTCTACAAAGGGAAAGATAAAATCCTTTAAAAGAATGTAATCCTCAGATGTCACACACACACAAAAAAACATGCATACATAAGTCTACTGGATCCTCTTTCTGAATAGAAAAATAAAAGGTCATAGTATCAATTCTAATATTCATTTTCTGCATTTATTTGACAGTGAAAGCTTATGCTGAGAATTTAACAGCCAGGGAGAATTGTTTCCCAGTGCCGATCCTAACACACTACTATTTGTCAGTCATACAGACATGTTATCTCAGCATCAAAACAACATTAAGCAATTACACTTAAAGTTGTTTATAGGCTGGATCAACGTTAGATTAAAATACAGTGAATTTTACTCTCTCTCGGACAGCCCCCCAATAAGCAAAAAGAGTGGAGAAATGAAAAAAAAAAAAAGAAAATGAGAAAAAAAAAAACAAAAACACCCCATATAAACAAAAAGTGTCAGCATTTGTCTCAACTTCATTCTTTTCAATGTGGCAGACAAACCCAGCCAAAAACTTTGAGTGCAGCAGCTGCTGCTGCCCTCCATCTCCTCTTCCACTCATCTTGGGCACTTTAATCAGAAAAAAAGGGGGCTTAAAAACAAAACTATGCCTTATCCAAATCACTGAAAGGTAAGCTCATTTTGAAGATTGGGCTTCTAGAAGCAGAGTCGCCCTACAGTGGCAACAAAGCAGATAAGTATCTGCAATCCCAACCCCCTTACCCCCTCCCTTCTTCTCTTTCTCCCCACCCCCGTCGGAGTCAAGTTTATAAACAGCAACTTTCAAACTGATCACTCACATTGGTGACCATGTAAGGCACTTGCTGGTCATAAAATCCATCCATTCTGCTGCTCTTCGCAAATCTCAGCTCAGAATTTTATATTTTGAGCATTTAGCTGGAGATTTCCTCAGGATCTGGACTTCTATCAACCTAGAGGGGAACAAGATGGCTTTTAGACTTAAAAAAAAAAAAAATCATGAATGAAGCTCTTGAATTTGCATAGCTAATTACCCTCCGACAGTCCCATTCACAAAAATAACCCTCCCTACACCGCCTCCTTCACCTGGATCCAAAGAGAGCCAAGAGAGTTCACAATTTACATATTTTCGGTAGTAGCAAAAATCCGAACAAGAGGCGATGTATTTATTTACACTCTCGATGTTTCCCTGCGCGGTCGGTGTACCCCGGGCAGCTCTGATTCGCAAACGTGTGCAAAACTAGCAATGGCGATCAACGAGACTTGCTTTGCACCTAACGGGACTAAAGAGACGGAGACACCTCTTTCATAAGGATAGTTTTTGCGACCCACAACCATGCAATTATCTGGAGAGACATAAAAAGTTGTTGGAAAGACCCACCTGAAGGCCACGCTAGGCGAACGGCTGCAAAAAATTCCCTCCAAATTTAATAAAAACATTAATTATTGCCCAGCACTTCCCCCTTGGAAGCCGAAAGCTCCTCTGACAGAGCTCAATTCGGTGGTTTTTCCTCTACTTCTCCTCCAGGGGCCTCCAATCCAAACTGATGGATCGCTGCCTCCCATTGGCTCCGCGTCTCTTTCACAAGATCAGATTTCGGGCTGTCAATCAGGCGGCTTACTGCCCCTTCCCGCGGGTCTCGCTTGCCCCTGTGCCCTAGCGGGTGCGCAGCCGGCAGGCGCGGGGTCCGCAGCCTGCAAACGCCACGGAGGAAGTCGACTTCCTCCCTAACCCTCAGCTTATTGTTAAGGCTCCAGGGGATAGTGAAATCATGTGTATCCAGTCGCCACTTCTCATTACTGGTGTGTTTGGTCCACTATTGGGCTGACTTCCTTCCAGCACTGTTGTGCGGTTCAGGTAGAGACGCCGAAGCGCGACCCTCAAAGCCCGCACCGCCTTACTCTCCCGTCCCCAAACATGTCCAGCGCCTGTACCCTGACCCGTGGACCAGGAGCCCCGCTCGCGCTCTCTCTCGTTCGCTGTCATTCCCGTTCCTCCTAAGCTTTTGGCCCAAGTTCTTTTCCCTTTTTTCAACACCCATCACCACATTTGGTTTATCAAAACATTTTTTTTTTTTAACAGCCATGTTCAACTAAAATTCTATCCTATCGTTCACGGGACAAGAAAATAAATAATCTATGAGGAAAGCACCTAGGAGAAGCAGAGGAATTGCTTATTAGGAGAGGTCGTGCTGGGAGGTAGAACTGGGAGGAATACAGAGCAATCAAGGTGAGAAAAAGTATAACAAGCAAATTTGTCCCAACGTGTGCATTGGTAGAAGGTACTTCCAGTCCACTGTGGAGGTGGAAAGAGGGAGGGAGGGAGGGAGGGGACGCAGGGGCTCGGATATCCTAGGGACCCGCACGTTTCCTGAGCTTTTGTTATGTATACACAGAGGCGGAGGGTGTCACTTACTGTACTTGACGCTTTCACTTCCTCTCCAGCTTTTAAACAGCCTGAGCCCGAGGTTAGGGACGAGCGGTGAGAGGACTCAGGTTTCAAGAACAATAACTAGAACCTTACGAAGTGAGGGGCTGCATCTCTGAAGCCACTTGCCCTGACCATCCTCTGGGGCTTGGAGCCATAAAGCGTCACTCAAGAAGCCACGGTCCAACCGGAGATGGGAGGCCGCGGGGACGGGACCAGGGGTTCAATGGCGTTGAAATTCAGTTGTGATCCTGGTCGGTGACCAGAGCTAGTGACCAAAGGACGTTTCCGGCAGCTGTTCCGCCCGTTGGGAAACGTGCTGCAGTTCTCAATTTCTATTTGAAAGTTTCTTTCCTTAAACACAACATTATGGGGACGCATTAAAATGTAGTGAGAGCGCACAACACTGAACTCCGGACTCTCCGAGGAGGAGAAAGATTTGTGTCAAAAACAAAAAATCAACACTTATTACAGGGGAAACAACCGATAACTGTGGACAGCATGGACACACACCGTTCATTCACTGACACTAGCAAATCAGAGTTCACAACGCGCGCACCTACACGCATTTTGAGCGGGAACTGAATTTTAACCCGGGCCAAGGAGGGGTCCGGACGCAGTCTGGTCCCGGAGGCTGGAACAGTGAGGCTCTTGGGTATTTTCTGAGGGTGCGACCAGACGAAGGGCCAATAACAAGGGTGTCCCACCACCCTGCACTGCTGGGGTAACACAGCCCCAGTAATATGAGCAACACTTTCCAAAGACCTTCTCTGCTGCCGGAGCCGGACGGGTATCCAGGGTAACCGCGAGGGGCGGGGCTTCGGGTTAGGTCCCCGCGAGGTTCTCCCCACAGCCAATAACGAACCGTAAATTCCCAGCCCATTGTTGTTTATTGCTGACCCCGCAGCGCTCCGCTAGGAGATTGGCCGCTTTAGGGAAGGGGGCGGAGTCCTCCCGCCCCCGCAGCCACCTTTCGGCTCCATTCACAAAATCCCGGCCTTTCTTGGTCACGTGGTTGGGGGCGTGGAGGGGCAGGGGAAATGACACAACAAAGGCCCAAGTTTCCCAAACCACAAAACTTTTTTCTGCCTCGCTACCTCCTCTTTGTCCCGTCCCTGAAACAAACACTGGATGAGGAAAAGGAGCTTTAGGCTTGAGAGTAATAACGAGATTAAAAAAAAAAAAAGTTAAGTTCGAAATTAAAGGCTCTTAGGGGGATAATTCCCGGTACACTGCCTAGGAGAAAAGCTGCGCGAGAATAAAGGAAGAGAATTGAGACTGGGGAGAAAGCCTTAAGGAAGGACTAGGAGCTTATGCTTGCTGCCTCGTCAAGTCACTGTTTTTAGAAATGAAAACTGTTCGATTGCAGATGGATTTCAGTTTTCTCAACCTCACATTGTGTAACGTTCATTTCTACCTTTGATTTATTCCACAGTGTCTTGTTCGTTTTTAAATGCGTCTTTTAGGAATATTACAGGTTTTCCCTGGCTGACAATTTTAGTTTCCATTTCCAAAGTCCTCCAACTCCTTCACAGGCCCCGATAAACTCCTCGATCCTTCTCCCTCCCAAAGGTGGAGGGGCACTCCGGCGCTGTAAGCCTCTGATTCTACTGCATATTGCGAGGGCTCCATATTTTCCCTTTTTTGAATACTTTAAACGAGCTTATATCGTTCAACTATTTGAACTTCATAGTAACTAAAAATGATGTTGTCATGTGAATAAGCGTATACAGTCTCACTACAGTTTTGTTTAAAACAGAATAACATTTTGAGATAAACGTGTCCCTCTAGCATGTGAACAACTGAACCAGCCTCTTTTCTTTCTCTCACTTTTCTGTCCTTTCTCCGCATTGATACTTAATGAAGACATCTCTTCTGTCCTTTCTGTGCCTCGATATTCAGTGAGGCAATTAGCTTCTAGTTTGGCGACTGTTTATTTTCTATGCTTTGCACTGGGAAAAACCAATAGATCAGTTGCTGAAGAAAGTGGAAGGGCTCAATATTTGTTTCTTCAGAAAATGTTACTCTAGTGGAAAATATCTACAGAGACAGCTGTTCTATCTACAAGAGAAGAACGTAAAAAGTTGCACAAAGTTTCCACTACTTTTGAGAATGTCTTTAAAAATCAGTTTAGCAAATGACAGTCCTTTGAATTTGAATGGAAAATTTCATTTTGGCAGGATTTCAGGCATAGAATGGCAGAGCAGAGGCCAAGAGGCTTTGACATTTATTTACTTGTATTTTGAAATCCCATTTGGGTTTTGAAATAAGAGCTCTTGAGAGAAAGTCCGCCCCCCCACACAAAAGGTCCATTTTTGAGTTT